AGGACACCAGAACTGGACACAGTATTCAGTCAGTGATCTTTAGTCATTCTCTAGTTATGTAGCCAAACGAACAGCTACTTTAAGGAAGCAAAAGCCTAAAATATTCATTAATTATTTTCATCCCGAAGTAGTAAGCAGATTAGTGTGTAAATGAACTTTTTCTCCATGTAGTTATTAATCGCCTAGCTGTGCTATGGTCTTGATTTTATTTTCATTTGTCTTAAAGCTTTAGATAATGTTAGACAAAAATACTCACTGGAGGACCTGACTAGCTCTTTCTGAATAAATGAAAGAGATGGCACTCAGGTTTCCTTTCGTACCAGTCATTGTTTTATTTCTTGAGAACTTGAGGAGTGTATTAAGATGGAGTTTTGGCTGGATATTCACTTACATTTGTTAAGATATTCTGATAGGCACTTGTTAGAACCCTCTGAAAAAAAGAGTTGTATTGATGAAAAATTGCTTCTCAGTCTCAGGAACTTTGGATCCAGAGCAATTTGGAGGGGGGTGGAGGAATGCTTCCCCAAATTATTTACAGAAATGAACATGTGGGTAAGATTAATTCGAAAGCCCATGGATGCATTACGCCTTTGCTTTGCAAGGCTATTTTAAAAACTGTAGGAGAGAGTTGTTAAGGGTTTTGCCCATCAAATGACAAGTCTTTTTGACTTGAGGAAAAGCAATTCCACACCTGCTACCTCAGTTAGTTTCCCTGTAATCTCATATCAGAGGTTTTAGGCTTTATAGGGGAGCTGTGATGGGGAGCCCGAAGAAACAGAGAACTCTTACCTGCTCTTCAGACTCTAAACTTCTTCCCCTGACAGTGTAAGGATTCCAGAGCTGCAATTCAAAGAAGTTACAATTCCTATTTGAATGTAAAGCTTTACCCTGAGCAGCACCTAATGTGTTTACTCCTGTGTGCTTGGGGTCTGCAGGATATTGCCAGTTCTGTGGCAAGGCAAATCCACTTGTGTGAAAGGAAGCTCCTTGGGAGAGGAAGGCAAAGCAAAAAAGGACCTGATTTATCCACAGATTGCTCATTAGGAACACATTACTGCTTTTGTTAAGTACAGTAATTATCTGGTATTTTGGCTCTTGCTAGCGGATTTTTTTTTTCTTATTTTTTTTTCCTCCCTGCAACCAGTTTCTTCGTAACAAGATAAGTATTTTCTTTGGTGCAATTGCATATGTTGTCTGTAAATCAACAGGAAGCTTGTTTTTCCTGGATACAAAGCTTTCTTGCTCAGGGTGATGTTTTGTCAGCAGCTTTCTGCCTAAGCTGGCAATGATGTTGTCTGTACTCCTCCTTCCTCCCAAGTAGCTGCCTGGTTTTGAATTCCACAAGTTAATATGCGTTAATGATGACATGTGACAGAGGAAGTGCCTCAGGATAGCTCTGAATAATTTGAATAGTCTGGACTTCAGCCTCAACTTGGGCAGGATTTGATTCTGTCTTTATGTTCCGGATAGATAACTATGAGCAATCATTCATCTTTTTAGCGCCCTGTTTCTTTTTGGGTTTGTTAATCAAATAAGACCGTTGCAATCCCGAGATCGGAAAGAAATTAATGAGATGCTTTTGCTTTGATATGGTTTAATCAACTGTAATTAGATTTGATTTGCGTTGTTCACATCTTGGGTTAAAAAAAAAAAAAAGCAATGGCTGCTTAGCGTCATGACTTAATTTGGTATTTGTCTGAAGAGGTTCCTCTGTGCAGCATAGCTGTTCCCGGCCATCATTGCCAGGGACTCTTCAACTGCCTTAAATGTGTGCTGTTTACCTATCCAAAGGGCTTCATTTTTGTTCACACCACTTGGCACTTTTTCGGGCTTTTCTTGTTTGCTTGATTTTGTTGGTTTTTTAGTTTCCCTCCTTGGTGCTATTGTCAGACAGTTTGCGAAATGTGTCTCCTGCAGCTGTTACTGGAAGGCTGTTCTGAAACCTCTGTTCTCTGGTTATTGTAAACCACCTTTAGTTTCTAGCCGCATTTCCCCAGGGGTCTGTTTTTATTTGACCTTATGCCAACTCTTCAGTTTACTTTGCACAACTATTTTTCTTTCTCCATGATTCCTTCCCCTAAGGGCCTTTTGAAAGCGCTTTTTTTTTTTTTTTCCTTTGGCACGGTAAGGTGAAGGATATTGGTTGTTCTTACAGGGAGGATGCAATGGAGGAAGGAAAAAGGGTCACCTGGTACTTGCAGGACTGGATGGCAGGCAGGTTTGAGAACTGGGTCATTGTGTTGTGGTGTGGCATGGATTTTTAAAGACAAGGCACGGTGGCTTGTTAAAACATCCCAGCAAAAACACTAAAAGGAGTCATATCCTGTTAGGCTTGGTTTTACAGGACTATGTAAACAAAGTTCTCTTAGTCACCTTCTCCAGGAGCACTGGTTTTCACGTTAGCGTTTTCATGTCAGTTTTAGGTGTTTCTGACAGCACTGTGGCCACGTAAGAGGGTTGTCCCTTGGTTACAGAGGGTTACAGCCTCTTGGTTGTGCTGCAGCGGTGTCTGTGGGGCTGTGGTATGCGTTGGATCATGTAGCTGATCCGAGTCACTGGGGCTGTGGAACTCAACAGTTGGCTTCATTTTGCTTCAGCACAGCACAACTGAGTTTATGGACAATATTTGAAATGAGTGATTTATGCTTAACATAAGCATGTGTGTCTTCTCTGAGGCTTCTAATGCCCTACTTGTTCAAGTATCATCGTTGACTTCTTCATAAAAGCATCATGCTATGGCTCATCCTTGTCCAGTGATGGTTTAAAACCCCCAGAACATTTTCTTCCCTGTTTCTGTAGCAGAGCTTTTTAGTCTTCATGACTTAATCATCTGTCTATTCTTTAAATGCCATCAACTTTTTTTGAAATGCCAGTTCTCTGTGCTGGTAATGTCTCTTATTACTTTTTGTATTAAAAATTGCAGTTTAAGTAACAATTAGCTCACTTACAGTTGCAGTGGATCTAGTTCTGAACCAACAGAAATCTCCTACAATTTTTTGTCTTAAAAGAAAAAATGGCAAAGAGAAAATGCCAAATTAATATGCATTCTATCAGTAGGGAGTCAGTGTTGCATTTTAACCCTGTTTTCATTGTCTTGTGAATTTTTCCTTCACAGTGTTTTAGAAAAGCTCTAGGGAACCTTATATAAGTGAAACTAGGTGGGCAGTTGCTTTATGCGATTAAAGTATGTGAACAATCTTTGCAGATCAGGAGAACTACAAAATACTTTTGTGATTTTTCTGTTGCGCAAAATGGTGAGACAAGTTTGGAAGCTTATTTTGAAGCCCTGCAAGAGTTGGACTGAATTCAAAGGTCTCTTATCTCTGTCTATCCCTCTTTGGGGGTGATGGGACTAATCTTCTCTAGGAATCCTTTCAAGCTGTTTAATGTTATATTGAATTTTGAGGAAGATATACTTGATAGAATTAAGTAGTTCAGAATATTCTTGATACCCTTTTTCTGGTATCTTGTCTCTGCAAGCTTTAGTATTTGCTTTACTAGTTCGTGGGTGGCCACATCTCATCTGTGTTCCCACTCTCTGTTTCTGCCAAATCAGACAGTTTAAAATACCATCCTGTACTCACATCTAATCTGGGTTAAATTTGAATTTGTGTTGACCTGGTGCACAGTATCGGTTTTTATGGCCATGTTTCTCTGTCCTCAGATAGTTTGGTGACTGCAAATTGAAGTTCTAGGTGTTTGTTTGAATTTTGTGCCTGCTTAGAAATTCAAGTAGGTCACTGAGCACCATATCCTACCTCCCAGTATCTTCAGAATAACTAAACAGAGGTCATCACTGTGTTCCACAATCACCTTTTAGAAATTTGTGAAAGAAAATGTTTCCATGTATCATAACTGCTATTTTGCTGAAGATGAGATCATCACCTTGTTAAAAGTGCGAAGTTGAGATTTAAGACTTTTTAGGATGTGATTGACATGTGCTTTGGATCAAAGCTGTTTATATAATTCCTGCACTTAGATAATAAACTTACTTTAAATTGGCCAATATAGTCACTGCTTACCAGTGATATATAAATGTATTGAGACAGGACAATTTTTTTTCCCTCTTAATTCTTTCTCCTTTATTCTGAAAAGGACCAAGTGGTCTTACTCTTCTGCAGGTGGAGTACTTAGAGCGACCTCCTAATTTCAAGTGTTGCAGATCACACTGCATAGACTTTTTTGACCAAGACTAAGTTGGTCTTGATTAACTGAAATACAAGTAAAACTCTCTTAAGGGAGAGAGCTTCCATGCCTTGTCACGGTGATGTTGACAATATAAATAACAATTTCTTTCCAGACGCCTTCTGTCCTGAAAGAACAGGGGAGGAAATCTTGTTGGCTAGTTTGTTGTTAATACATAGACTCTTGCAAAGGGCCCATATTACTGCGCTGGATGACTTTCAAGTAACTGTTATCTTATGCTTCCTTCCTTTTCCCCTTCAACAGGAAAAACCTAAATGAAGGCAACTTATAAAAACGCAGATGTTGCAATGAGGAGGAAAATGCATCATATTTTGAATTGAGGAAGTAGTTGTTGCTCTCGATGTGCTCTTTAGATGTATACAAACGCTGTTTTGCATCGGGGTTGGATTTTCCAGTGGGTTTTTTGTTGTTGTTTGGTTTTTTCTGCACACAGCAGCTGAGACACTGAAGTGGGAGACTTGTTGGAGTTGAGTATAAAATGGCAGAAGTAAAATTTAGAGGCGCACATTGGCCAGGCAAAGGCTGGCTTCATGAGTGATGGCTGCTGTGTGGTGTGTGGAAAATAGCGTGGATTCCTTTTAGGTAACAGAGAATCATCTGACTGACTTCTTATGTTTATGAATGTGCAGTGTCACCTAAGTGGATAATGAAATATTCTTTCCTTCAATATTACTGGACATTTTGTTACTCATCCAGTTGACCTTGTACTCCCTACTCCAGGATGAAGTGAGCATGTTTGTCAATTTGCTTTTTGTCAGATTGCTTAATCACAATCTTTCTTTTTGTTTTTACAGAGCAAATTAGATTAAAGAATATAAGAAATGTATATGGAAGATGCTTGTGGTATCGTTTGCGACTGTTAAAACCACAGCAAAACATAATTCCTACAGTAAAGTAAGTATGTTTCATTTGTATGACTTTCCATTAAAGCAATTCTTACATTTTTATTTTTATAAAAATACAGTGTTTTTTTTCCCAAGGAATTAGTTATATAATGGCTTTTGTGTCACAGACAGAACATTTGCAATCTGCTATATTTGAATAATTAACAGTTAATCATTATTATCTAGTAGGGCTTGAAATCAAGATGGATGCTATTTGTCCTTTATAAAATATCTGCTAAGTGAAACCAATGAACCTCAGCACTAGTAAGCAGATAAACAATGCATTCATTTGTTCCAAAAAATAATCTTCCCTCAGTGAAATTAGTGGTGCTAGTGATGTCTTTAAATATTTAATATGTAAATATATGTGTTCAGATATACAACAGGAATAATTTGTATATTTTAAGTTGATGGGTTTATATTCTTCATTTCTATTACTCCCACTCTCGAAATATTTTACTGTCTGGTATGCAGCTGTTTCACTTTTTTTTTTTTTTAATATTGACTTTGTTAAGGATCAGGTCAAAGTCATCCATTAAAAATAGGAAATCCTATTGCATACCTGCCGAGGACAGGGTTGAAGGATGTGTAAAGAGTAATTGTTGACAGTGGCTTGCCTTTCTAATATATAAAGCCAAAAAAACCCAAACAAACAAAAAAGGGAGAAAAGAAATTAAGCAGAAGTCAGATCTGACGTCTCATCTGTGTCAAAGGTGGTGTTTTAACTGAAGTACTCGTACCTACTTTAAAATGGCTTTAATATTTGTCGCTATTTTAATATGGTTTCTTGAAGACTGGTTTCAGATGACTGTTTATATTATTTGTAGAATTTTACTAGAGAGAGGAGATTTGTACGTTAAAAAATTCTTTGTTCCAAACAGGAAAATAGTCCTCCTTGCTGGCTGGGCATTATTTTTGTTTCTTGCTTACAAAGTTTCCAAAACAGACCGAGAGTATCAAGAATACAACCCTTACGAGGTTTTACATTTGGATCCTGTAAGTAATAGCATCTTTCACTGGCTTGTACTACTGTTACTGTGTATTCTGTGTCTAGATGTCTAATTTGAGCTTCGGGTTTTTTTATAACAAAATAACATTACTGAATGTATCTAGTGGTTTTGTTCTTTTTGGCATCTGAGAGTTGCTTCTGCATATTGTGGAGTCAGTCATTCTTTGCCTAAATCTGTACTGATTTATAACTTTTGTTTTTAAGTCCTTCAAATTCTAATGACTTTCTTAATATAGTGAGGTTTTTTTATTTATTTTGAATTTTATTCTGATATTGTTTTCTTACTCGGTAGAGGAAGAGAAAAAAGTCGTTCTGCTTTATGCCCTGTGAATATCTTGTCAATAGCTGTTCTTAGAGATACTGCTGAATAAACTATATAACAAAGAATGTGTATTAATTTGATATACAGTTGTTCTACAGCAATATTTCTCTTGTAAATGAAAGGTTTCACTAAAGGGTGTTGGTGATATTACATCAAAATACGTAAAGGTTACCTTGAGTCTCAGTTGCATCTGTGAACGTAAACAACAAATTCTAAATAGCGATACCAACCAATTGGTTCATTAAACTGAAAAAAAAAAAGACATATGGTTTACCTAGAAAACAGATGCAGTATATGATTTATATTGAAAGTCTGATTGAAAATGCATATAGAAGTTCTATATCCTGAGGAGACAGGCCGGCCTTTTGGACATGTCTTAAACTCTTCTGTAGTCTTGTCAAACTCTTTTCTTCATCTTAACCACAGTATCTCAAGCAAATTCTCTGCTTGTGGTAGTTTATTTCCTTTACACAGCTGATCTTTTGAGTAACAGTCGAGTCATTTTTTAAGTTCTGAAGTCTGAGGTATGTTTTACTCTCCACTCGAAGGAAGTACATTTTGGATGCAGCTTGACACAAGAATATGGAAGAACTTTTGAGTGTCCCCGTTTTGATTAAACTTGATGAATATTGTTAGTGTGGAAGATCTTAATGTGTATATGAACCTTAACAAATACATCTCTTGCCATTGGTGATGTGTCTTGTCAGCATAAGAATGGGCATCACTGGGACTGCTTTTCTAGGCTCAGAAAGCCATTATAGCAAATAAGTAGACTCTAGCCTGTTCCTAGTGAGACAGGCAGAACAAGACCTGCCTGTTGTGTGTGAAGGCATGTTATTTAAATTCAGCCTCTGCTCAGTTCCTCTCTGAGTGACCGATTGCTGACTTGTTTTGTTTCACTGACGCACAGGAACAAGATAAATTTTTGCTGTTGAATGGTATCTGTTGGAACAGTGCAGCTTAAATATTCACGTATCTGGGTTAGCTTTGGTTAAACAAATCAGGCTAGGGATTAGGTCGTCAGAGGATTTTCTTTTGTCATCCCTGGCAAATTTCTGTTAAGTAACAACCCTGAAGGGATAAATGTATGTATGTAGTGAGCTGTAAATTAATATTTATTAATGACAACTTGTACACACACCCAAGACATGTACAACTTAACCAAGGAAAGAAACTAATACTGGAATGCTCCAAGAAGTGGTAGAGGAATGGAGCACATTGTCATAAGGACAAGTCGAATTAAAGCCATTGGTGTTACAAGGGGGATGAAGAGGTGAGTGTGGAGATAGGTCGGTTTAAGCAGGGCTCAAAATGAAGTCCAGGATTCCAGAGTGTGTTTGTTTTGTGTATTTCTGTGCTATCAGATGATGTCTGAAAAAACTTCTAGTTCTGACTAGAGGAGAGTTAACAGCTTTCTGCTGTTACCATTCAAGTGGAACCTTTAGAGTCACTGCCAGCCCTGCTGATGTTGAGGTGATATGGATGTTGATGTGTTGTTAGATAGTGGATCTGTTCTTGCTGTTAAAAAAACAACAAAACCCCCAAACTTTTTGTTTGTTTTGGTACATGGTAATTAATTTATTTCTTTGCATTTGTACTATGGCCAACTTTGTTTTACTATCTTATGTTAGCGTATCAGTTTATAACCACAACACGGGCAAAGTCCAGATAATGTACGTGCACTCAACTTACAATATCAGCACTTTGTTTTGAACATGGAATAGCTCTTTTGGAGCTGTGTATTCACTAATACATAAAACACGTGTATATTATTACCGATTTACTGAATAAGTATCCTTACTGCCATTTTACAGGCAGGATTCAAGGCATAAAGGTGAAGCTAAAAAGCAGTTGTAATTTTGGATTCTTTAAGTGGAACAATTTGGGCCATAATTATTTTGTGTAAGTAGTTAATATAGGGAAGCTCTGTGTTCCAAGCAGAGTGCTGACTTACACCAACTGTCCTTGGCTATGGAGCATTCCTGTAAGTCAGGTGTAGCATCTGTAGCTTAGCTTTTGAAAATGAGGAGTAAGAAACTAATGATAGGTGGAAAGTTTGTCATCAGCTTATCAGAGATCATGTGCACTATCTGTAACAGAGAGAAGAAATTGGAATTATGGTTTTTTTAGTGACAGCATTCATGTGAGCCATGAAAACTCATCTCCTTCTCCAGCAACCCGGTTTCCTCCCCACCACTTCCCAACTCTTACTTCTCTGGCATTCTTCGTCTAGTCTTGAAATGACTGTTTTTACCTGAAGTCTGATTTATTACAGATTAAATTTATCCTGTGATTATAGGAGGCAGGCATGCTGTTGAAAAAAAGTGTTGGAAAATGATAGATACATTGTATAGAGAAGTAAAGTAACACGAAATGGAGCCTCAAGGTAGTCTAATTTCTGTTTTAAGTTTGTTGAAACAGTACCATCATTAACGTTGGGGGCTGGTTAGCTCAGTCGGTAGAGTGTAGCGCTAACAACGCTAAGGTCGCAGGTTCAATTCCATTTGGTCCCCATGTGTTGCCTGATCTAGTCAAGAGGTGGTGTCCCTGGCGGCAGGGAGGCTGGATTAAAATGATCTCTAGGGTTCCTTCCAGCCTAGGCCGTTCTATGATTCTTGTGTGTTTGTTGTGCAGTTAAGATCAGCATGCTGGGCCTCTGTACCACAAAATATTGAAAAGTCCTGTGGTAATGGTTCTGTGAAACTTGGTAGATAGCTTACTAGAAAAACTTCGTCTGCGCTTACTATAGAGTTTTGGGAGTTTTTTCGAGTAGTAAAGTTCACAGCCCAGCCTGAAAGTTAATGCACAGGGGGTTGTGTTGGTGTAATTTAACAGTGTTCTGTAGTAGAATAAAAATCAATCTCGAGAATATGTAATGTATTCCTTTTGTTCAAGAAATTTGAAATAATTTATGGGTAGGATGATGCTAGTCAAAGACATTCTTAAGTGGCAGGGCAATCCACCATTTGTGGTGACTGACAGATTTATTTCTGCCTACAAGCTGCAAAGTGAGCCATCATGCTTGATCTATGAACTCTTACTTAAATAGAAGAATACTGCAAGTGAGAATTCCTCATATTCGTGAATGTGTTTAGGAAAAGCTAAGATTTTTCAAACAAATAGGAAGGTCTAACTTTTTTTTTTTGCTATGGATGGGTGAACAAGGTAATCCAATAAAAAGCAATGTCCAGTCATCAGACATGTCTTTGTTAGACTATGACTTCTAATTTGTTTAAAAAATATAATGGTTCTTAAAAAAATATACTTAGAAAAATAGCATAATAATATTTCCATTAAATACATGTGTAGTTTCATGATTATATATTAGAAAATAATTCTTTAGTTCAGAGGAATATTGCCTGATGTGCTTTAGAATATAGATATAGAAGAATGGATTTGATTTAAGGTATTGAATAATAAATTCAAAATTTTCCTTTTTAAGGGAGCAAGTATATCAGAAATTAAGAAACAGTACCGTGCACTTTCACTAAAACACCATCCAGATAAAGGAGGAGATGAAGTTATGTTCATGAGGATTGCTAAGGCCTATGCAGCGTAAGTTTCCTTTTTTTGCCTATAAAAAATGGGAACTTGTTGTTATGGGGAGGGAAACCTTGAAGGTAGTAGCAGAGATGACCTAAGCAGCCAGGCAAAAGGTGTTTGGATGTGTAATGAAAGTCAAAACTTGTCTCAGTTACTCCATATTTGCTCTGTGCAAGTTAGGAAGGTAGTTGTTTAGCATCTGCCAGAACTGTGTAAGGTGTTAGGGTTTTGTATTAAACTTCCATGTTGGCTAGGCAAAGTATTTCCAGTGTGATGCATATGAAATCTTAGTGATGACAAGGAACAAAATTGATGTTGCGGTTTTTAACCAAAGCCAAACCTGTCACAGCAATTCTGCAGCTGCAAGTAATTAGAAAATAAACATACTGTTCATTTCACCTGGTGATAAAACCATAGACGAAGAGACAATACTTTAACTCTGTTCCTACCTAGCAACAGAGATATTTTATTCTGATTCTGACTCAGTTTTCTCTCCGCTCACTCCACATCACTTTTCATTTGCACTTGCCTTACAGTCCTGATTTTTCACTTGGTAACTGTTTCTTATTACTTATGTAGTTCCTAAAAGCAGAATCCTTGAATCTTCTTTTACTCCAGAGTATTTTTTGGCCTTACCTCTGCTTATAGCTTTTTTTTTTTTTTTTAATCTGAGAGGCAATGTGTAATACTAGAATTTACTATAAAAGTAATCCCTTTTTATTAAACTTTTCCATAATTAAGATATGGGTTTGGGTTTTGTAATACATACATGGAATGTTATCACAGCTTCATATTCTTCTCTAAAGAATCATATATTAGAGTTCAATAGCCTCTGACCAGGTTCTTTTAGATGTTCCACATGTGGAGCTTATAATGTTTAGTATCAGATTTGCTTCCATGAAGACAGTTGATGTTAAATGCGTTATCTGATTTACCAGAGTTATACATTTATGTTGTGTTAGTGTATTTTGTGAGTTAGACTTGGCAAAATACAGGAATTTCAATACCCAATTCAATCACAATACCAATGTGATTCCCGTTACTGATCTCTCTGATACACTCGCTGTCCGGATGTTGGGTGTGCTCAGGTGCTGGGAAGGCACACTTGCCTTGAAGCCAGCTCAAACCTGTTTTCTTCAAAATTCTTTTGCAAGTTGCTTAGTTTTAATAGTCTCTGCTGGGCTGAGCCAGGTATGCCCTCCAGCTCATGCTGGTCTTGCAAACTTGAGGAGACATTCATATTTTTTTAATGCAATGGAGGAGAAATATTTACACCATCAGTTAACTGGCTCAGCTGTTGTAGGTGTTGATCTAAAACAAAAGCCACCCTCCGGTCCCCTTTGTGTTGAGGGAGAGTTAGCTTCTTTGCAGCAGCTGTGCTGAGTCGCTGTGGTCAGTCTGAGCTTCGTAGCGCATCACCCTTGCCCATTCCCTTTCAGCCTTTCTCCATGACAGGGATTTGAGTCAGTCACATCATCAGAGAACCCAGGTGATTTCTGCTTTTAGGCCAGTTGTCCATGTGGTTGACGTTACTGACTGTCTCAGAGTCCTGTTTGGGGGGAGGTGAGAAGGAGAACCAACGCCATGCTCACTTGAGCATTTTTTAAATCAAATATTCTGCTTAAACACATCTGCAGCACTGTGAAACTCTCTTCAGTAGGATACACTGGTGTTGCTTTCTGAACTCCTGAACCATCTCACTGCTTTGCTTTGCAACCTTGTATTCAAATGTTTGGTGATGCAATATCCAATGCTAGTGTAAGGGTTGTGACAGAAGCATATCTTGAACTAAATGATAGTGAAGTTCCTTAGCCGTGCTGTTTTAAAAGAATATAAAAGCTACCCATTCACCTTGTTAACAAACGTGAGATTTAGAAATGATCAAATGTCTGACTCGTTCACAGGATTTCTTCTGTGAGACAAAATTTTCTATATAGTGAATATCTCGTGTTCTGTTTCCAAAAGCAGTATTCTTCCTTCTAGTAACAGGATGGGGTTTTTTGAGGTGATATATTATTGCCAAGAAACTCATTACAGAACAGGCACAGAAGCTGTAAGATTTAGGAGGAAGTGTCTTAATATATTTCTTCTTAAATATGAAACTAGGGAGTTCCAGGAAAAAAGTAATCAATGAAACACATGCCATCAAAGGCTAAAAGTCTCAAATAAGAGAATTAAAAGCCCATGTGGACAGCTTCTACTGTGTCAACTCATCTTGCATATTCACCTTCCTTCCAGAAAAGAGGATAATGTTTTCAATTTTTATTGTCTTTCGGTATTTCTTAGAATCACAAAATGATGGTTTGGGTTGGAAGGGACCTTAAAGATCATCTGGTTCCAACCCCCCTGTCATGGGCAGGGACATCTCCCACTAGGTCAGGTTGCTCAAAGCTCCATCCAGCCTGGCCTTGAACAGTTCCCCCGTCCCGCCCGCGCGTCGGACCCTTCGGGGGAGGGGGCATCCACAACTTCTCTGAGCAGCCTGCTCCATTGCATCACCACCCTCACAGTAAAGAATTTCTTTCTAGTATCTCATCTGAATCTACCCTCTTTCAGTTTGAAACTGTTGCACCTTGTCCTGTCCTTACACTTCCTCATAGAGAGTCTCTCCCCATCTTTCCTGTAGGCCCCCTTCAGGCACTGGAAGGCTGCCGTAAGGTGTCTTTGAAGCCTTCTCTTCTCTTCTCCAGGCTGAACAGCTCCAGCTCTCTCAGTCTGTCCTCATGGGGAGGTGCTCCAGCCCCCTGCTCATCTTTGTGACGTTCTGCTGGACACACTCCAGCAGGTCCATGTTTTTCTTAGGCTGAGTGCCCCTGAGCTGGACACAGCACTGCAGGTGGGGTCTCACAAGAGCAGAGTAGAGGGAGGGTGAAGAATTACCTCCCTCGTCCTGCAGGCCACACTTCTCTTGATGCAGCCCAGGATGCGATTAGCTTTCTGGGCTGTAAGCACACATTGTTGGCTCGTATTCTGTTATTCAACCACAGACACTCCCATCTTTTTCTCTGCTTTCAATCCACTCCTCACAAAGCCTGTATTTATGCTTAGGATTGACCCAGGTGCAGGGCCTTGCACTTGGCCTTGTTGAACTTCAAGAGATTTGCACAGGCCCACATCTCAAGCCTGTCCTGGTCCCTCTGGATGGCATCCCTTCCCTCCAGCGTGTCGACCACACCACACAAGTTGGTGTCATCGGCAAACTTGATAAGGGTGCACTCGATCCCACTGTCCATGTTTCTGACACAGATGTTAAACAGCACCAGTCCCGATTCTGACCCCTCAGGAACAGCGCTTGGCACTGGTGCCCACTTGAATGTTTAACTGTTCACCACAACTCAAAATTTTGTGACCATCCGGCCATTCCCTTATCTACCCTTCCCTTTGACCAGGAGGATTGATGAAAAACCTACCTGCTGACTCTAACCTGGCATTGAGAAGTGCTCTTTGCTGATGGGTATGCCGTCACTCTCCTGAAAGAGGGAGGTGGTTGTTCCGTCTCCTGTACGAGGGTACCCCTTCTGTGTGTCATTTATTTTGCTGTCGGAGTGCTTAAAGAATTTGGCCGTGTACCATGAAGGAATACAGTGGTATTGTTTTGTATCAGATCTAATACAAACAATAGCAGAAGCTGTTTATATTGCCCAACCATCTCTGAAGGATAGTATAGATGCTACATTTTAAAGTTTCTTTATGTTAATTATTTAGAAAAATTTCTTTACATTTGTATCAACTTAACATTTCTTCTTGAAACCAGCTTAACAGATGAAGAATCACGAAAAAACTGGGAAGAATTTGGTAATCCAGATGGACCACAAGGTAACAATTACGAGTAACAAAATCTTAACTTCTGTACCTTGAGCTGTGTAATATCTGATCATATAAGTACTCAGATCTTATTATATATAGAATAACTTTTTCCTATGATTTGAAGCAATGCATCTCATCAATTCTCAGCTTCTGAAGCTGCCTCTGGGCTAGTGATTGGCTGGAAAAACAGGGAAGAGTTTGCTTCAACTTTTCTTAAACATTTTATTATGGAAAAATGAGAAGGGTGTTTTTTTTTTTAATTAGTCAGCTTCCGTAAGTATCTGGAGAGACTAGCCAATACTAAAAAGAAGTATAACTGAAAAAGAGAAAAATACTCATCAGAAGCTTGTCAATTTAAAACATTTCTTAGTATTTATGATCATATACTATAAAAGTATATTGAAAAATTAAGAACTAGCCATAACGCAATAAAGACACCTCAAAGTACATGAGGATATGTATGATTTTAAAAAATACTGTATACACATTTTTCTTGCATTTGTGGGAAGCATTACTGTTTGAATCTAACCCTGTGCCACCTTCATTTTGAGGAGTCCTGGTAATTATCTCTATGCTGATGGATTGTTCCTTAGCAGGTAGCTGCATGAAATAATGCTGATGGTGGTGTATTAAAACTTTATGGTAGATGATTCAAACTAAACCAATTTAAGACTGAAAGTTGATAGATTTTATTCCTCCACCTATTTGTGCTGGTGTGAGTCATTTGTAAAAAGTTTGTGACCATTGTTTAAGTGGACTAGTTGTGAGGAGGAATGTTGGCTATTTCTAGCTGCTACTGATATTTATTACAAGCAGAAGGAAACTGCCATCTTCAGGACAGGCCTCCATAGATTTCTGCTTGTTGATGCCCTGCAGTTTGAGGGACTATTATGCTACATATCTACATGAAATGAGTTAAGGCCCAATTGGAAGTGATAAGTGGAGTTTGTAACTTAACTGAAGTTACAGGGTGATGTAAGGGAACTCTGCTGGAAATTCTTCTGAATTACATCCATCTAACATGAGAAATGAATTTTAAAAGGGAACAAAGGAAACATCCAGCCACTAAAACAGTGTTTCGAAGAAACAATCTTCCCTCTCCCTTAAAAAAACCACAAAACTGTGCCGACTAAATCATAGTCTGACAAAGGCATTTCTGATGGACAAGCTGTTAGTTTAGTTTTTTTAACCACTACATTTTATGGTGTAGCAAATTTCTTGCAGCTTCTCTTGGTTTCCTAGCCAGGCAATTAGGAATGCTCTGTCCCTCTTGCTGCAAAATACAAATAAGATCTTACTTCAGAAATGCTGTAACAATGTCAGCAAAACGATGCTGTAAATTTTAGTCTGGTATATACACAAGTAGCTTTCCTAGGACTTCTCCTGGTGCTAAACTATTTTTTGCATGCACAAGCTCCTAATTTAATGTTGCCAAAGCATAGGATTTTAAGTTAGGCAGTGTGTCATTGTTCTTTTGTGACCTTGAACCTGTGACTTCAGAAGAAAACTCATCCAAAACCAGAGAATTCAAAAGTGGAAAGATTCTAGTGGTTCAGAGATTGCTTCCACAAGCTTTAAGGGACATTGAATTCCCAAAGGGTGAAATGAAATGATTCTGTTAGAGTAGCAGTTCATACTCCATGTTTGAAGCCTCCTGCTCGTTTGAAGCCTCCTGCTCCTCTGAAGCCCTACCTCAAACTGCGATGATGTTGGAGTTCTCTAATTTGCTTCTAGATCTCTCGTTGTTGCTTCATCTGAAGGATGGGAAGAAGCCCAAAATTTTTTCTGTCCCATCCTCTGTTCTGTAACCTTGTTCCACAGCAAAGTGTGGAGAGGCTTCTAAATAGGGAAATTCATCTTCTCTTCATTTATACACCTGTAGCATCAAAATCTGTATCCAAGCTATATCTTCTAGTACTTTAGTTTTGTGTAGTCAAAGAATGGAGATGGCCCCTTATAGGAGTGTGTTCTGAGTTGAGATGAAGCACACGTGCTGTTAGACATGTCTAACCAAGTTACAGGAGGTACATCCTGCCCTCTGCGCCCAGCACGAGCGAGCGGCAAGCAGTACTTCTCTATCCAATTGAAGCAGCATGGAGGTTAGAGGCATTTAAGTCTTGTTATTTTATTTTAGATTTGAATGTGTTTCCAAGTTTTGTTTTGTTTCACTAAATTCATTAGAATTTTGCTTGTTGGAGTGATAAACATGAGGATTTTCTTGTGGTTTGGCACCTTTGTTTTTGTTTCTTAGTCTTAATGTGACTTCAAGTTCATTAATATTTTATAGCTAATTTCTTGTCTTTCATCTTACAGCTACAAGCTTCGGTATAGCTTTGCCAGCTTGGATTGTGGATCAGAAAAATTCGATTTTGGTGAGTACATTTATTCAGCTTAAGATTTTAAGGTGAAGCTTCAAGTGTTTGCCTTAAAATGCTTGTGCTTAATAGTGCACATTTTAGTCAAAACACAAAGTTAATAGTATTTTTGTCTAAATGCATGTTTGAAGCAAACTTCAGGGGTCAAGAGTGTTAGATGAGCTTAAATCCAACCTTTGAGAGTAAAGTATTAATATCCCTGGAAGGATCTCATTGCAATGACATTGACGTTTTGTGGTGGTCACATACTGGTACAAAGTGTGGTTTTGCCGTTGCAAGGAAACATCTAGAGAGCTGTTTGATGGATTTCTGTAGCTCAACTTACTTTACCAGTGATGCTGTAGTCATAACAGTGTCGTAATGTTCTGTTGCATTTGTTGCTGCAAGGTATTTGTCTTACCCGCTTGATTTCTTTTAATGTGGTGTAATTATCTCTGTCCATTGCGTCACAACTCTTAATTATTAAAGAAACCCACCTGAGACAGTGCATGGATGACTTAAAAAGACTACTTACACTGAACCGATACTCTTTATTTAAACCCTGCCCAACTGATTATGTTACTTCTGTTCTACAGAAATAATGATAGATATTATGCAGTAAGAGTACATTAATTTGATGTAGGCTTGTGATAGTACTACTTGACTATATTTCAGAATAAAGATTAAACAAGAATGGTATTAAGTAATTCAAGTGTCTAATGCATTATGTTTTATATAATTTTTTCTCTAGGTTTTGCTTGTATATGGATTAGCATTTATGGTTATTCTTCCCGTTGTTGTGGTAAGTATTATCTGATTAATATTCTACCCTCTGTAACCCAGCTGTAAACAAAGCTGTCTTAGGCAAAAGTAGAGTTACTTATTCTTACCTGTCAGTGAGACAGCAAGCAAGAAAGGGTTTTTTTAAATTATTATTTATTTTTTTAAATAGGTGTTTTCTTTTGTTACAGAAATGATGTAGCTGCTCTAGAATTTCCAAAAAAATGCAGTGCCGTGATAGAGGGCTCTAAGGGAAAATATTAGATATCACAAGAGTTAGACAGAGCTATTTAATTTGTCTTTTATCTTCTGTCATTCATCACATGAAAATTAATAGGAAGGGATGAACTCTATATTTAGTGCTGTTATTGTAGAGCCAAGACAGAGATGTCTGTAGCTGGTGGTACTAGAGTGATTACTGCATGTGGAACAGGTTGTTGATTTTGTTTCTCCTGGCTGCCTTCATTTTTTTATTGCTATTCTGTACACCATGAGATGTCTGCCCTTGAGATTTCTTTGTATGAAGGAATTAGTTGCTAGGTGAGTGGTATTTCAAGGCTTGGGTTTGTCTTACAGTATTGCTTTTGAACAACGCCCCATAACCGGTGATTGAGCATTTGGGATATGGTATGAAGAAGGACTCAGAAAATTGACACACAGAAACTTTCATGCTCTTGGGAAACAGATTTTTATTTGAGAAAGCGTTGTGTGATCTTGGCAACTGCTTGCATCTGTGTGTGCAGAGACTCAGCCAGGCAGCGTCCTGTCTCCTTGAGAGTCTTTCTGTATAATTGAAGAGTTAGTGTAGGAAATCAGATGTGATGATTTCAACAAGTTATTGAATAAGAAGTCTAAAATTCAGGGTACAATGTCTATGTATTTTTCCTGTCTTTCTTTTTAATTTTCAGTCAGTGTCGTTTGGTGCTTTTTTTATATACATGTACTTTTAGGGATTTATACCACGTTTATCATAGCTCAAGTGAAAGCCAACATCCTTTCTCGTGTTATGAAGAAATGTCCTGAGCAGAGAAAAAAAAAAAAATCTGCCTTTTTGTGCCCCTATAGCAGATGTAGACTTCTGCATTCAGAACTGTCACTGTAAATTTCTTTTATAGTCAATGAAGAGGAATAGTGATTTTTATGGAGCAAGTTATTTTATCATTTCTAAAGCAGACATACAAGATGATTCATGCGTTTAATGGGCCTGTTTCTCTTTTATGGATCAATAAAGAAGCCAAAGTTAACTACAGAGTAGTCATCCTATTTAGATAGGCAGCTGAGATAAAGTAGGGCTGCTTCCACTCTTTGAATCCAGATCAGCAAAAACTGATAATACTGATACATAGTTCTTCCTAGACCTTCACTGACCTAAATAATGGTCTGTTCATGAGATGGAAGATGAGCTTTGTCTGCAAAAGCAGTTAGGGCAGCCTCTTTCATGTAGATTTGGACTGGCTATAGTTCTATTTCTCTTCCAGTACCTATACTTAAACAAAAAATTGATAGCTATAGGATTATAATCTAAATTTTTCAGCAGAAAAACTTTTTAAAAAGCTGTGAACTATTTTGTGTCAGGGTTAATCTATTCATGGAAGAATCAAACCTAATTTATTTTTAAAAAATACATTGTGGAGAGCCAGTTCTAGAACATTTCCCTAATAATTAAGCAATAGGCAGAGTTCTTGCTGTAGTGGTGGGCTTTACACCACTAAATTAGTAGTAGTAAGCATCAGTACTGCTTGCTACTTTTTACTTGTGATAAACGTTACAATAGATTGAACTATGTCTTGAATGTTTTTTCTCATGTTGGTAGCTTTACTTAGAAGGAGGAGTTCAAGGAAAAGGCTGCAGTTTATAACCCAGCACAGAGTTTTTCTTAGAACATACAGAATATAATCACTCTGTGTATACTCTATAGAGCACAAATACAGAGAGTTTAATGATTTGAAGTCAGTGGTGTAATACTGTTGAGGGATTTATTGGAGTGTTTCTGAAGATTTGGAAAACTTTTTCCGTCAGCTGAGGGCATATTGCTTAATTTGGAAAATGTGCATCAAGACCACTGGGCCACCTTCTGTAAAGCATTTTCTGGTCAGGTGACTTAAGTTATTTCTTTGCAAATTCTCTTACAATGAAAGAAATCTCTTACTTTGTTCTTGCTTTCACCTTGGTTTGCCTAAGCTGAAAATTAGATTTGAGTGTCGTGTTGCACAGTAAGGAGCTATCACATATATAGAAAGTGGTAAATCCAGGAGAGTTACTCTTTAGTGGGTTCACCAAAGCACCATCAAAAATAAACAAAGCACTGTACGTGTGTGTGTATGTGCTGGGGGAATTCTCTAGGCTAGAGACAGTCTAAAAACTTTCAGTGTCAGATTCTCTCACATGAAGGTATTTGTGTGCTTTTAAAACTTGTAAGCGAACTTTTTGGGTTTTTTTTGCTTCCTTCCCCTTTTCTGAAATTTACCTTAACATAGGTAAAGCCAGTTGGGCTGAGTTACCTGGTTGTGAACAGATGTGAGGGGATCCAGCATAGCTGCTTTGATGCTTCATCATAGTTGACGTTGGTTTGTTCTTGTTGAATGTCTCAGGGTTCCTGGTGGTACCGATCAATACGATATAGTGGAGATCAGATTCTCATTCGAACAACTCAGATTTATACGTATTTTGTCTATAAAACACGGAACATGGACATGAAACGTAAGTAAAAGCCACCTTGAAATGTTGATATGTTCATCGGGAAGCATCAGTCTGCTGATGTTGAAATGTTTCTGCTTTATAAACCTTTGTTAGGTTAAAATAATTTTTCTGGATATTTTGGAGTGGTTTTGAAAGCTTTATTTTGTTGCAGGTGAAGAGTATTTTGTAAGAAGAGTTAAGTATTTGGAAGAGGGAGTTCTATAGATCTGTATTTATTTATGTTTGTCTATCTATACGTTAAAAATGTGTATTGTATGTTGGGGAAAAACATACTGGCCTGTCTGCAGTTCTGAGTTACTATGTGGTCACTATGAATGCAGACTCTGTGTGTTTTCTTCTGAATACGTTTTAGGAATTTTCTAGAGGCTATCTTAAAATATTTTATATTGGCAAAAAATGAAATAGTATTTCTGGTTTGCTATTCTTACTTGTTATGATATAGCTGATCTGTTTAAAATTTTTGCTCCTAATTGCTTTCATGTGCCTTAGTTTCTTGTTTATAGTTTTTGATATAGTTTTCTGCTTACTTTGAACGGAATAAAAAAATAAACTCTTCTGAGGAAATCTGTAAATACGTTAGGTTTATGCAGAATTGCAGTTTTGATGCTGGCTTGAGCCTGAAGAATTAGCATGGTACTAGTTAGTTCTAGATTGGACTTCACTAGACTGCATTCTTAGAATGATTGAAAAGCAGAATAAAAGAGCCTCAGTAACCCTTTCAAAAAGGTCTCATAAGTATTTTCTCTTACTCTCTTGCATTCCACTGTTGTTCAGCTTTTACATTTGCCGGAAGATTGCTGGAAGCATCTGCTTGTGACCTGTCCCTCTCTTAATAAACAGAAATGCTTCGCAGATAATCTAGGAGGTCTAAGAGACAAGAGTATGGAAATACATTCACTTTCTAGCCACAGCACATGTGGATTTATGTGTGTGGGATTAATTAAGACCACTTTATGCTCTCCACCTTGCCATACTCTTACACTTTTCTCCCCCTCTCCAGCTAGGTAAGGAAAGGAGGAATGGAAGGGTGGATGAGACTTAGAAGTTTAGGGAGATCACAGAATCACAGAATGTTCGGGATTGGAAAGGACCTGAAAAGATCATCTAGTCCAGCCCCCCTGCCAGAGCAGGATCACCTACAGTAGGTCACACAGGAATGCGTCCAGGTGGGTTTTGAATGTCTCCAGAGAAGGAGACTCCACAACCTCCCCGGGCAGCCTGTGCCAGTGCTCTGTCACCCTCACAGTGAAAAAGTTTTTTCTAATATTTTTGTGGAACCAGATCACTGCAAACCTGTTTTCACCAAGCTTGAACCTTACTCAGAACTATAGAGGCTTGCCTCGTTTCTCCTACAGATAGGTTAAAAAATGAACCCTGACTGTAAGTGGCCTTATTTAAGGACTTAATGCTTTCAGGGAGTCCTGGAATTAGAGGCAGGTCACATTTTTTCCCTGAGGTCTGTTGTGTTATCTGAATGAAAAATGAGGCACAGCTGAGGTGGCTTAGACAACCCACAGTGATCAGGTAAGGCTTTTGCTCGGTGGTAAATTCCACAGTGGTGAGGCACCAGTGCCAAAACTCAAGGCTTAAGCTTGGGCAGATCAAATCTCAGGAAACAGTGAGACAAATCTGCATGACTTAACCTCCTGTTATGAATTTTTTTATTAGGTTTTAAGACAACTGAGTTCATAAAACTTCCTATCTTGGTGATCCACAGTTGTAGATCTTAAATAATAGGAAAGTATTTATAGCTGTCTGAAACTCTTTGATATGCTTTGCTCAGGAAGTAAATAGATAATTGAGAACAGAAATTAAAGTTGATGCTCAGGGAACTTGACTAATTGTTAGTAGGTGGAATTCACTGAGCATTGCAGGTACGCAAAAATAACTTTGACTTGCTCAGAAAAGAGCTTGCTTAAGATGTAAGAATGAAACTTGAGTAACTATTGCTGAAAAAGTTATTCCAACTGGAGCAAATGATGGAGTGAGCTTTCTCTAACTGACCATGTCTGAGGGGTCTGATATGCTCATGAGCAGAAAGCTCATAATGGGGTGGAAATACCTGGTTGTGTATATCTTTCATCTGAATTACACAACAGAATATTTGAGGTAGTATGGATTTTACTAATCACATTAGGAAAAGAGCAGTCCATCTTTGAGATTTGTTTACAGCGGTATTTATTGAACTGTTTTTCTATTAACTAAAAGATTTTTTTTGTGAATTTTCAATGCTGACTGAACAGAAAATGGATTTGATATTCTATCCTTCCTGCCTCCCTGTCCAACACATATGTTATGGTGCTGCTGCAGGCAGGTCAGCTGCAGAGAGGAGTGTTTCTGTGAGCCTGCAGGAGTAACCAAACTGCTGTGCAGTGACATCTGCCGGTCCTAAAGAAGCCCAACTATGTGTTTGTGAAGATGGTTAGAGTCAAATGCTGGACTTGATGTCATGCAAAATAGAGCCTTGAGTGATCTCTATTGTCTTGTGCCAGATGCTGGTTTCTTGCCTCCTTTGCTCTGTGGCTGTAGTAACTGGTCCACAAATAGAGAACATGGAAATTCATGGTTGTTAAGAGTGGGAATAAGTTTTATGGCTGAGGATTCTGAAGAAATCACTCAGGGGCGTAAGAAGTTGCTAATGTTTTCTCTGTTTGCCTCCAATTGTGTTTGCAGGGCTTATCATGGTTTTAGCAGGGGCATCCGAATTTGATCCTCAGTACAATAAAGATGCAACGAGCAGACCAGCGGACAACATTCAGATACCACAGGTTAGTTGTGTTGAGAGATGCTTTAGAGCTTACAGATCCCTTCAAGGGAAGAGGGAGATGACGCTTCTAGGTGACTCACTGACAGAATTCTTAAGACATTAGTTTTGTTGAGATGCAGCTGTATCTCTACAGAAATAGAAATTAGAAACGAGACTTTTTTTTTTCTAAAGGAGAAGATAACATTAATTGGTGATAATGCTTAGCTTAAGTGGAATCAGTTTAGTATATGATTGCTAGGTTTTTTAGGGGAGGACTGAACTAAGTAGGGAATTAGAGTGTCAGCCCTTATAAATTTTGAGTATTGGTGTGAGGAGATGATTGCTGATTGATCAAGTTCTTTTAAATCATTAACAGAGATCTGGCTATGGATGTTAATAAAATTATCTGACATCTGAATTAATAAAAATCTTTAAATATTATAAAGATATCTCCGTGAATGTCAGTTCCCCTCTGGTTGCTTGTTATTTTCATTTCCATTCACTGTTCCTGACAGAGATGCCATAATGCATACTGTGGCAAACAATTATTGCTTGCAGAGTTTTTAGGAAGTCTTATTTGTCTGAAACTAACACTTTGGTTTTAAGAAGCTTAAAGCACAGGGTACAGAATGCTTTCATGAGCATGTTTTGAGTTTGCAAAATGAGAGAGGTACAGATTTAACCTAAACTGTTGAGTTTAGCTATCATATCATAGAATCGCCTAAGCTGGAAGGGACCTTAGAGATCATTTTAATCCAGCCTCCCTGCTGCCAGGGACGCCACCTCTCGACTAGATCAGGCAACACATGGGGACCGAACGGGAATCGAACCCACGACCTTAGTGTTGTTAGCGCCATGCTCAACTGACTGAGCTAACCGGCCCATCAGTCTTGCACACAGTTGAGTTTTTGAGTCGTAAAGCATACCTTCATGTCCTAAACATAACAAAAATAGACTGAGATGCCTCCTTACCTAATTATCATTGTCTCTCTTAAAAAAATTCTTTATCATCTTGTGGGCTTCTAAGAGAAGAAGCTGGAATTGTGTTTAGGTGAGGTTTTCAGCAGATATTGTGTGCTTGGGAGCACGTGGCTAGGAAGTACCAGCTTGATCATCAGTTCTTCTCCCGTGCTGCTGCAAGCATCGGCATCATGCAGGGCAGTTATATTTAATCATTCTTTGTTCAAAAGGCAGTCAGGCCTCCTGTAACTGTATCCTACTGAGAAGCTGTTACAGAACTTGCTGTTCTAATAGTTTGGAGTCTTGTTTGTGACCAACTTATATTGGTGGGTTTTTTCATCATTATTTCTGAGTCTAAATGGCTCTTGCTGTGTGTATCCCTAATGTATTTATAGCCAGAAGCAATGGCCCGTTCTCTTTTTGTCTTCATTTTGCTAAACTAGAAAAGATGCTCACTTTTAATGCCCACTTTCCCAAAAGGCTCTTCATTTTCCTCATCCTGATACGTGCTGATGGATAGGATTTTGTCCCCAATTGATATCCTCTTTAACTTTTATATTTTTTTTATTTTGCCTGCTCAGAATTTTCTGCAGTATTCCATGTTAAGTGTTAGCAGTACCTTAGTTGGTGGCACTGCTATTCCTGTATTTCTGCAGGGAATAACTATAAGCATACAAATTTACTCAATGCTATTCAAGGCAAATTTCTTGTGTGCACATCTTTACTTCCCTCCTCACCCCCACATTGAAACAAGGCATTTAAAGGTACTTTTTGACTTTCTTGAGCTGTGTTAGGAATAAAAATGTCTAATGTTAATCTCTACAGAACTTTGCAGGGAAAAGTTACTTGAAGGCTTGCTTTTGCTTTTGCTTGTAAACTCTTTTCCTGCTGTATTTGTTTCTCTTTAGCACCAAAATAACTGTATGTGTTTAACTCATTCATTTTAGCTTATCAGAGAAATCGGTGGTATAAATTTAAAGAAGAATGAGCCTCCACTCACCTGCCCTTACAGCCTGAAAGCAAGAGTTCTGCTGTTGACTCACCTTGCCAGGATGAAAGTTCCTGAGGTCCTTGAAGAAGGTAATGGCTGCTCCCCTAATTGGATGTTGTTGGAAACAGAGCAGCAGGAGAATCTCTGCTCCAGCACCTGCAGCACCTCCTCCACCTCCTTCCCTGGTCTTGGTGTCCGTAGAGTTGTTTCTCTTGCATATACCAACTCCTCTCTCTGGCTGCAGTCGCAGGGACACTTTCCTTCCCTCCCTTCTTAAACACGTTATCCCAGAGGTGCTGCCACCATCGCTGGTGGGCTCAGCCTTGCCCAGCAGTGGGTCCATCTTGGAGCTGTCTGGCACTGGCTCTGTTGGACACGGGAAGCTTCTAGAAGCTTCTCACAGAAGCCTCCCATGTAGTCCATGTAGTTTTCTATTCCTGGTTATTTTTTGAGTTTTTTCCCCCAAACTATGCAAAGCAAGGATGATAAGATTCTAATGTTGGCCGGCAAACTTGAGATGTTCTATATTTTAATGCAAGTAAAAAAAAAAACAAACAAAAAAACCACAAACCAAAAAACACAATAAAGATAATTTGGTTAAAATTTTCTAGTTTATTTTGGAGGAAAAAACCCACAGTTTTTAGTAGCCACTTAATTATTGTTTGTGCTTAGAATTTATCGGATCTGGACTAGTAGGTTCAGAAGTAATTAGTACTTTAAAAATAATGTTTTTTCCTAAAAATGATGTTTCAATTAAAAATCCTTTTAAAAATCTGTAGTAACATGAAGCATTAATACTGTTTTAGTAAGACTAGTAAGCTGTCTGTGCCATCCAGTTGCTTTTTTAGATGGATCTAATAGGTGCTTCTTTATTTGGTGTGAAAGCGTCTTCTCTGGTGCGTAGAATTTTTGTTCCCCCATAGCACTTCTCTCTCCTGTTTTTTTTAGAAATGTTCTGGATGAATGTGTCAATGTGAATAAAATGATCTTTTCAATAATACAAAAATGAATAAAAATGAAGACTGCACAGTTAAATATCCAGTTCACATAAACTGTCCCCTTTTTTCCTAATGGAAGTACAGCATAATTGCAGCCAGTTATTTCTTGCAGATCAGCAGTTTATCCTGAAAAAGAGTCCTGCACTACTTCAAGAAATGATTAATGTGATCTGCCAGCTAATAATAATGGCTCGGAGCCGAGAAGGTAAGAAAAGAAACTGTATAACTAAAAATAGTAAATACAGTTCTTCATTGCAGTATTTCGTAAAGTCGTTGGTTCTTGTGGGAAACTTAACCTGTGATATTTAAAAATGCCTAAATGTGCTTTTGTTCTTCTCACTGTAATGAGAGAACTCAACATTTTGGATATTGAAATGCTGCTGCGGCTGCCAAGCCCTACTCTGAAATCTTGAGTGTCTGTGTTCACCTTGTAATTTTTGCATTTGAAAGTTTCTCATTGAGAACAATTTATTAAAGATCTTGTCTTTTGTTAGCAAAGCACTTGCATAGGACACATTCAACCTTGTGTTGATCTGTCTTTTAACTGGTGCTTTTACAGTTCTTCCTTTTCTATTATGAGTGTCACTTGTGCTTTGACTCATTTCTTTGCTGTCATTTATTTGTTAGGATGTTGTGTGTATTTCTCCATTTCTGGTTCCTATGCTGTTGACTCTATGTACTTTTTTTTTTTTTGTCCCTTGAACTAGGTATCAGGTACTTTGCTGTAATTGCTGTTGAAATTACAATTTATTGAAATGTAATATTAAAGCTTTTTTATTTTTACTGTAAAAAGGCAATTATGCTGAAGATGGTTGCTTGCAGTGTAAAGAAACAACAACTTGTATCTCATTCTGTTATTGCAGCAAATGTAGGCAAGGCAGGTTTTTTTATGCCAAATTGGGGACCATGTTGCTCGCCATCAAATAATACTCACCGGTTCATCTTGAATAGATTAAAACTCTGTTAGCAAACATTGGTTGCCTCTTGACAAGAATGGTTTTGGGGAACGTCTTTCCCAGCACTGCTGCATGTGGGGTTGTAAATTGTGACCCGTAACCAAATAAAGTACCAGAGTGGGAGTGTGAGCAGATAAGGCTGTTGCACGCCGGCTCACATGTTCTATTTTAGAAAGAAGTATTGATTAAGTTTACTTCTGTTTCTCTTTTAAACCTTATCTTTACTGGTCTGTTGAGATTGTTGGGGAGAAAACTTGAAACCTGGATGAAAACAGTAGCCATGTTTTTCATTGGAGAAGTAATTGTTATGTAACGTTGTATTTATTAATGAGTGCCATATTAAGAGCTCAGCTATGGGTAGATATTGGATATGTTTTTGTGAATATTCTCCAGATTAGCACTGTAACTAAATTACAAAGATACCCCCAATAGAGATTTAAGATAAGGAAGCTACTTCTATGAAACTTTGTTAATGTAATAGTTTAATAATTTGTTTAATAAAAACCCTAGTAGCTGTTTCGGAAGTGTTAGTGTTGTGGGTGTTTGTTTGGTTTTTTTTTTTTCTTTTAAGTTTTGCTAGCTCAGCAGGTCTAAGTCCACATATTATAGCTAATTATATACAGCTTCCTCTGAGTAGCTGTGTTCTCTGGTTCTCTGTGTACATGGAGAAACCTTTTTCATTTGACAGTAAAGTGATTACTTATAGATACAGAATATTTAATAAACTGCTTTGAAGTTCCAGAAAATTTAGAGTTTGCCTTAAAATAATAAAAAAAAAAATTTGGAAGACAATAGTGTAAACTAATTTTCAATTTTCATGTGAAATGGAATTGATGTTGAAAAACCCCAAACCTAAACAATTCTTGGAGATTTTCATGATCCCTGCCAACCTCTGTAAGTCTGTGAAAGTTGATGAGGTTATAGTTGTCATTATATATGGTAGATGTTACTTCCATATATTTGGAAAAACTCCCAAGTAGTTGAAGTGTATCGTGGGTATAGTTAAGTGTTTACTTTTTCTCTTTGCATTGTGTTTAATCTTCACAATATTTATTAATGTAATAAGTTAAAAAAAAAAAAAAAGAAGTCCTGCCATGTAATTTGACTTGATAGCTGATTATATTTATAGCTTGGTGTGATTAATGAAGAAACGGGCCATATAAAGGGAGAGGGGCAGGTGGAACACAGGTGATGGAGTGATTTTTCGTGTGCGTTTAAAATACCTTAGTAGCTGCTTATAAATTTGCAGCAAGGTAGTGCTACAGAGGAAGGAGAAAACATACTGATGGCACCAAATTTGAGGTTGGCTTTTTTTTGGGTCAGACTTTACTACCTTTTCATATTTTCCTCTGTAAAATATTTTAAAATTAACTTGAACTTGCTTTCTATCAAAACTTTTTTTTAAAATCAAAAATACATCACCACTGGCACTTAAGCATTCAGCAATTTTGGCTTTGTTACCCTTTTGGGGAGGTGCAGGTTACAGCCGGTCTGCCTTCTCCCTCGTGTGTAAGTAAACCTGCTATTTTCCCCATCTCTGATTGCCTTGGTGATGTGATGAGCTCGATCACATATTCCTTTGATCACATACATTCCTTCTGTCTTTTTAAGACATCTGCTGAAAGATGCCTCTATGACCCTGTTGTAGTCTCCCAGATATGCTGATATCGGCCAAGTATGTCCATACTAAATATGCATGTATGTATACCTATATGGGGTGTATTTGTGTGTGCTCACACACAGTTATTTGTATTCATGCTTATGTTTATATGCAGAATATACCTGTAACAGTCAAGGTAATCAAAGGTTGATTGCCTCTTAGAAAATGTTTTGAAGTATGGGAAAATAAACAGGTTCTTAAATAAAATGTCAGTCATCATAAATTACAGGTGCTTTCTGTAATACATGTTTAAAATTACCTTCAGTTCCTTCATGTGCCCCAAATGAGTTCAGAAAAAGGTTTAAGTAGCTTAAATTCTTGTGGGGTCTCTGAAAAGGATATCTAACTTATTCTTCTGTTTCATGGGAAAATATATACAGAATGACCTGAACGTTGCCAGTTTTGGACTTAAAGCAGCTCTTGAGCTCCAAGGGAATTCTGATATAAGTTTTCTAAATGGGAGTTTTTGAATTCTTGTTTGTGAATGGATGGCTGTTTGACAAAGTTAAATAGCAGTATGTGGAAACATGTGGAAACATGTCTGCTTTACTTTTTCATTTCTTAGCAGACATGATGAAAAGTGTCAAATGGCTTTTATTTTTTTTTCTTATTTCTGTTTTATTTTTTTTCTTTTACTGTGTTCTGGTTAAGAATTTCTCCTTGTCTATCTTGTAATCGTTTTAATTATGTGGAGTGTATGCCTTTATGTACTGTAAAATATTAAAGGAATTATAGGTAATTTCTAAAAGAAAAGTCAAATGGGTATTTTCTAAGGAAACCCACAAGTTTGCTTACAAAACCCATACCTTTGATATTTTAACAGCTATTTGTACTGCCTTCTAACATAATTTAATATGTTCTGCTTAGCTTCAGTTATACCTACAGTTTCTTCTCTCATTTAATAGGGCGCTACCTTTATGTTATCTTTCAAGAGGAAAATCTTGTAAATAATGTATTGCATCATCAAAGATTAATGATAAACGATATTTAATGATACACTTAGAAAGTAGAGCTAAACACATTATACACACATGTGTGTAAAATAACAAATTTAAGGCAAGCTGGTCTTGATGGTGCTTTTTCTGGTTTTTTTCTTAACTTAAATGTTGGAGTTTTTGCCTACAGTAATTGCATGGATACATTGTGCTGTTGTTCCCTGAGACAATGTTAGATGGAACTCTTT